AACACCAACTTCAACTCAAAATTTTTTGTTCCAACTATAAATTTTGAGCTTAATTTTTTCCAGTTAAAATTTCACATAGTCAAAGTTCACGTTGAAAATGAAATTTTTTAGTTAAAATTTCCAAAGCCAAAAATTTCGAGTTTGAACACAAAATTAAAAATTCATAAATCAATACTAATACAATAACCAAATATACAGGGTATCCCAAAAGTGACGACCGTCCTTATGGGTTTTGATTGAGGGGACAAAAACAAATCGAAAATCAGGGGTGGAAAATTTTTCGATTGTTTTTCTTTGCCGAATTATTCAAAAAATTATTAAAAAAAAACTAAAAATGAACATTTGAGCTGGGTTATTAAATATTTATGTAGTTCAAAGCTGTATTTGCTGCAACTGTATGTTTTTAAATGAAAACTTACCATTGCCGTTGCTGCATGACGTTCCGTTAGCAGTTAGACTAAATTATTGGTTTCAACATGATGGAGCTCCATCATATTATGGTTTACGAATATAAAATTATCTGAATCAAAACTTCCGAGACAGATAGATTGGAAGAGGTGGACCATGGCCTCCTGGATCACCAGATCTGAATCTCCTAGATTTTTCTTTTGGGATTATTTAAAAGAAAAGATTTATAGTCCGTATATACGCTGCTGTCGCGTTAATAGACCAAAAGATGCTACAAAGAGTTCATACTTCAATGTTGAATCGTGATAATCTTTGTCTTGAAGTAGAAGGCAACTTATTTGAACACCTTTTGTAAAAACAATTTCTATTATTTAAGCCCATTATTTACTTCAGAATGATTGGTCATTGCGGACTATCTGCATGTATGCAAGAACAGCATATTTAAACTCAGAAAAAAAAAATGGATTGCGAAGGGTCACATACGTTATGTTCACAGAGGTGGACGTCGAAAAGTAAGCACCACCTAAGAATAAATCCTTTTGACATGGCAGTAGCGGCTTCCTTTAAGACGAATTTTCGTGGATCAGTGCCAACTGCAAGGAAGGGGTGAAAGATTCGGAGCTGAAGAATTATGTGGCTGTAAATATAGTTGCTTTGACTCCCCAGTTTAAAAAACAGAGGTTAGAGTTTGCAAGAAAGACAATTTGTAGGAAGCCCAGTCTTGCTCTGATGCTTCTGTCCGTGTCTACCCACCAGAGATTATAAGGTATTCGGAGCCTTATGTGAAACCCACACAGCGCAGCGATGGATTCTCCATTAACGTTTGGGCTTGGATAAGCTGCCAAAGTCCTGATGTTTGTTGCGACTATGCTGTATCCTCAGAATTTCAGGATAATTGTGGTCAGAATGGTTCATTGATAACAACATCGATGTTTTACCTTGGCCCTCAAAGTCCTGGGGATATAGGTGAAAAAAATGTATGGCAGAAACTTCCGTCCAGTTAACGTCGAAGAACTTTGGGAGGCAATTGAAAACACATGGGATAACATCACTGAGGATTATAACAAGAACATTAATTTTATCAATGCCATGGAGATTGCAGTGTTATAGACAAAAATGGTGCTTGGACAAAATACTAACTTTACACAAATCGCATTTTTTTTACGACGAAGTGTTTCATTTTTAGATCTCGTTGACGGCGAATGAATGGCCGTTAGAATGTATAATATATTTCAGTATTGGAAAAATAAATAATTTTCTACCTAATTTGGATTTGTTTTGCTCACTAGAACTAGTATGATAGACACACATTAAATTTGACATAATGACAGTCGATTTGAACCTCACATTTTCAAGTCAGCTTCACAAAGGCCAATTATAGACAATATAGAAAACTATACTTATCTACTATTGCTTATAAATTATATGTCTTGGTTTCCATAAACACAGACCTCAGTTTTGAGACAAAAAAATGGATTTTCACGTTTTTAGTTTTTTGAATACTTTTTCGAATAACTCACTACTAGGGGCATAGTGTAAGAAAAAATTTATGCCGTTTTCTACTTACATATCGTTTTAAGTATTGAACAGATCCCGATCTGGGATTTCGGAGGTGGAGGCGGAGTGTCTTCTTGTAAAACGTCAATAACCGCTGCTTTGCCTAACAATACCTTGGACTTCTTCACGTGAGGATGCGGAATTTTTACCTTCACATGTGCAGCTTTTCGTATAAAATAAATTATAAGTACTTAATTTAATTTTTTTGACGAGAAATAATTGACTAAATTTATTTTTTTAACATTTACCTACAACTTGTTTGAGGGATCAATGTCGTCGGGAATACCAGGAATAATATTCTCATCGTTAGGATCTAACGTAAGGATGGAAGGCCCAAATAGATTTCATATCCTCCACTCCCCATATCACATAGTCTTCCCACCTGCCGTTAACCAAATCCTCGGTGTTGTTCTGCTCGTGGTCAGGCCTTGGCTTATTCCATTTGTTATTAGTCTGTGGCTTATTCAATCTTTAAATTAATGAGAGAAAAAATTTAAAACCTATTACCGTACAAGCGTAGCATAACAAATTTTTGAGCTTCTTATTGATGCCATATTGAATTATTGAATTGTGAGTTCAAGGATGTATAATATTTGAGTGAAAAGATTTTATTAAAGGGCAAAAACGTCAATTTCATAATTTATTTAATTTTATTGTGGTAGCCATGAAAAATCAAACGAAAATGTTAACATTTCTGTTTAAACGTAAACAATTAATTTACTGCTATAAATAAGTACTCAGACGTTTTTATTACTTATTAGTAATAGCATAATATTCGATAAGTGAAAAGCTAGACATTTTTACGTTTTATCGTGAAAAATTTGCAATTATTTTTTTCCCACTCACTTATTGAATAAGTGCATTACATTACATTACAAACAAAATAATAAAAACATTTGAGCACACACCAATAACTGATTTTTTACTTTTAAACAGAAATATGAAAATTTTATTACCTATACATCATCGAATTAAAAATTGAATGCTTCATTTCTTCTTCCAAGTTTTAATGTGATTGTGATTTAGCCAATAACATATTTTAATAATTTAGTATAACAAATCTTTCTTAACCTCACATTCTCTGATTTCCCTCACCTAGCAGATAGTGAATCAGAGACAATAGCAGTGTTGACAAATGACAACAGCCCTTTTCTTTTATTGAGTATTGGTGAAATATCATGGTTAAGTATTGTGCCAATTTTGACCTGTCGTTTACAATATTCTGCCAATATGTGGAAAAAATATTTTTCCAAATACTGTTTAAGATTTTGAAAATGTATGAATTACAGCGAGATGCTCGATGTTCATCACTGGTATCAGTGGTATCTTATGAATATGATACCAGTGAAAAATTGATACTGTAATTCAAATTCACAATTATAAAAAAATAACTTTAAAATTTAAAAGTAAATACAGGTAGGTAGGTATATGCTTATAGGCGATTTAGTGTTTTTATGATCCATTGATAACATAAAATTATTTATTTTAATGATGTTTTCAGAAAGAGAAAAAAAATGAAATTTCAGAATAAGCAAAAATCACTAATAATAAAATAGATACCAAAAAAGTGTATATGTATATTTTAGAAAAATCTGTTAAATCAAAAGAGGGAGGTACATATATACCTACCTTCATTCGTATTTTTATGGATATGTGATATAACACAATACAGAATTAACGAAAACAAATGTAGAAAAACAATAGTTATTTGTTTAACTAAGCCGTAAAGGACAAGATTTAATGCCGGTAATGGTATTTAATAGACTAGGCGCAGCCGAGTCTATTAAAGCAGCCAAGGCATTAAATCTACTTTACTGTCAACTTAAACACATAATTTTTACGCCTATCAATTTTAATTTTATCATAATAGCAAACAAAGCTATTTATGTTATATTATTATTAAAAATATTAAAATTGTATTCAAATTGGATTCAATAGTTCATAAACCATCCACTAATGAAAATAATTCAACCTGCATAGACGAAGTAAATGTGTCTCAAAACAAACAGGACAAAGGACATTCTTTACAGACTGTTCTAATTTCACTATAAATGTTTACAATAAATAAAATTACTTTCATTAAAAAACAAATTTTAATTTTTAATTTAGCAGCAGTAAAAACGATTTTAGTGCCTAGGCAGTAAATGTGACACTTTAGTGTCTGACAGCCGTCATTAAAACTATGCCTTTAATGTCGATTGGCAGAAAATTGTTTTATCAGTATCAAAATACAAATAATATATATAGGGTATTTTCAAATCAACTGTACCAGTGAATTTACTGCTAAAAACTTTCAAAGTTCCCAAAAAATATGGTAAAAATATGGTATAGCGGCTGTAATTTGAAAACAAAAAAGGTACCTATAATAGTAAAATTTTACACAAATTTCCACTAATGTGTGTGCAACTTCCCAACAATCTTTCGAAAATTTCTGCCCCTTGAAGGGGGTTGAATAACCATCTCCATTGTTTGACAAAAATTGTTAAAATTTAAACTTTAAGAGTTTAGTTATAAGGTTTTCGTATATTTTCAAATCAAAAATAGAAAATAAAATATGAGAACTGGTAACACTATTAGTTATCTTATGACCTGCTGATGACCTTGGAGGCAACAGGTCTTTCAATAAAGATATATTAAAAAAAAAACAAACCCATGAATTTAAAGTTCTAAAAATAAATAGACCAACTGGAAACAAGTTACACATTCACTGCGAAAAATTAGGAACCACCACGGAATGTAGGCGATTGAATTTTGAAATTTACGTAATATTATTTAAAAAGGCTAGTCATTAGGATATAACTGAACAGGATAAAGTTTTCAGTGAACTTTTGCAAGTTATTTTTATCCTATCGTCCCTTAAATAGGAAGGAATAAGTACCTACTAGGCTGCATTATTGCAAAATACCTAGGTAGTAGAGTAGGTATTTGCATCGAATGGGTACCTCTTGTAATTGCAAGAGAATTCAAGGGTACCTCTACTAATCATACTATATAAAGCATAATTATTTTCAATGTAAAATCTTATATAACATTAATATTCAATTTGTGTATACCTCGTGGTTTAATCTCCTATCGTTTGCCCATGTAACATACCTATTGTGTCGGCGTTATTATTAATGGATATGCTATTCATTGTCGTTCGAATGGTAGTAGCACAGCTGTAAACATTTCATATTTTAAAAGGTATGTTTTTATTCAGTCGAGGAAAAACACGCTAATACGCGGTTCGCGTTCGCTTGTAGGTACCTGGGTACTAGCCTCGCGAATTTACCTTGTGAATTGTGAAAATATCCTGTGCCAATGTTTTGGAATAATAATAAGAAAGTTCGTTATTAAAGACATTATAGTAAGTTTATAAGTTTTCCCTTATCGAGCGAGCAGTTTTTTTGCCAGTGTTTTATTGTTGCATTCGGTTTATATGCAATTTTGAGTTTGGTATTATATTTCGAAAAAGCATGTATTCCGGCTTTTAATATTGAAATTAATTCTTCTTCTTCATCATAGGGTTTAGATGTTACCTATAGAATAAATAAGTTCATATCGGTGTATTCGAGATAATATTATATTGAGGTGTATTTACAACTTATTTAAGATAAAAAGGGAAAATGGGGCGTGGTGGTTATCATTCCAGCAGAGCAGAATTTCTATCTGACGAAGCCATCTTAAAGTACAATAGAAACGGAGGATGTTTTGTAACCACCAAGAAAGCCATAGCCTTCGTAGTTTTTGCCTTGGGGTCTTTACTTGCAGTTGTCCTTCTGATGTATTTTTACGGACCTAACAGGCACGAGCAGAAGGTAAGTTTTCAGTTACCGTAGTAATAGAGGTAGGTACCGATAGGTAGGTAGGTAGGCAAGTATAATACTACTATACATACCACTATAACTTATACATATAAATAAATTCCATATATCAAACTGTAAAAAGAAAATTTTTTGGAACAAACCAATAAAGAATTGTAGTAAACATGCGTATCAAGACTAAAACCTCCGTTTGTGAAATGTCATTTACTGAACGACGCATTTATTTTGAAATACAAGAATGATTGAAGAATAGTTTTTTAATTATTTTATCTGGGAAACTACAAAGGATAAGTATTTGACATTTGGTAGTGATGTATAACTTGATATGCCCTTCAAAAAACTTTTGTACCTACTATAAACATAATCACCTCGCAGAATGCTTTTGTCACTGCGAAAATTTTAAGGAATGCTTGTCCTTTCAACATTTTTATAGTTTAGATGGATTTTTTTGTTCTATTGTTATCTTACCAGAAATGTGATTTCTTGTCTTTTCTTTTATAAAACGCCAGCCTTGAGTACTTGATACAAATTAGTGACTGGCACTGTTCATTCATATGTTATGTTCAATGATGTCCCGTAAAAAATGCGATTAATTGCTTACGAAACCTTGCTGTGTTGCGTAAACAAATAACACTTCATTATTCAATGTTATTTTCTCTTAAATATAAAACTGTAGCGTATTTCTTACACTATAGGTGATTTTGGAATTATACATTTAGGGCAAATTTTGAAGATTCCAAGTTTAGTAAATTAATATGACTGCAAAAGTTGTAAATTTTATGATTCAATAAAAAATATAATACATGTGCAGCAACGCACAGAAACAGTGACGGGTATTTAAAAAAAAAAATAAGGTCTGTAATTTTCATATAGCATGGGCATATTAAAAAAAAATGTGAATTTTTTATACTGGTCATACGGTACGAGGGACATTTGTACCACACTAAATGGTAGTGGCAGCGACTACAATTTGAAAAATGATGACGAGTTGCTACTGATCATGTATAATATGGATATTTTTATGTGCAAATCATGCAAAACTATTCATGGGGATGTCACAGTTTACATATTCCAGTGAGTCATACAAATTTATCTCTTCTAACCAATACTCGGAATGTAAAAATGCAATGGTCAGTTAGGTCGTCATGGTCTCCGAATTGGTTACATAACTTTGTTTACCTTTAGTCAAATGATTTTTAACTAACCATGTGAATTAATTTCAACCTACAAACGAATTCATAGCGAGAATAATTCTGCATATAATGATGAATGACTGCGAAATCTAGATTTCTTTACTCCATCGGTTCTTGATTGGAATAAATAAAAAATTACCTTTCGATTTCACCTTGACGAAATAAGGTTAAGTCTTTTCAAAATAGAATATGTATCCACAATAAATTAAATTTGTACATAAATTGCAAGGCAAATACAAAAAGTATATAAAGATATCTGTGCGCGTAGTAAAAAATTAATTACTAATTTAATGAGTTTTCAAGGCCATCATTATAATGAGAATGAAAATTATTTGATATAAATTATGCTCATAGTTCGCAAGTATTTATAAACGCCATTGCGCTTTACGTATTTGCACAGACACATAAATTTGCTATAAATTATTATGGCAACGATGTTTCTTCAGCGGGGGCGTTTTGTTCCTGTTCCTGTAAGGTAAATGCTTAGGTATACGTTGTCTGTACGAACGCAGTCGGGAAGGATTTACACAGAGAAGGCTCCTGTAAAGAACGAGGGTAACAACAAGCTGCTCCTATTAAAAATTGGGAACTGAAAAAAGAGCCAATATCTAAGTCGAGAGCTAAACATTACGTTCCTCATAAAAGCATGGACAGAAAAAAAAAGCGGAGCAGCATACTTTAACCGAGAATAAAAATGTGGCGTTATTTGTATGTATACATATCTTATGTGGTTCCCGTCATGAGAAAAATATTGGTTGTACCTACTATTGTAGGTAAATCGGATTCATAAAAGATACGTGGCTGTCTAAAGCAAAAATATGTTCCTTAAAAATAAAACGTAGCTATTTGACGCTAAATGTGACATCACAAATTAATGTGTTTTCTCATTTTTAACAATCGGTGCAGTATGTCGAAAACTTAATTAAAAAAATTTCTTTTTTAACTATCAATAAATTGTCTTTACTGTCATTAGAGATATATGCACAAACTATGTTTCCGTATAAAGTTCAGTGGAGAAAATTTTGAATTTACGAGAAAACGCCACTTTATAAACACGACTGCATGTCTTAAAATTACTTTTTTTACGTGATTCATATACAGAATACACAAATACCAATATTTTTAATGACTTCAGTATTGACCATTTTAAACATTTTGGAAAAATATTTTAAAAACTGAAAAAATATACAAAATTCCAAAAATTGATTGTACATATTAAAAATTTGTAATGAACATCTGTCCTAGTTTATTTCAAAACAATATATCCAAATGTGTACTCACACACAACTACTTTTCTTTCCGTCGACACCGCTGAATTTGTTCATTTTTCTGAACCTATTGATCCTTGTAAAAAAATAAAAAATAATATCGTAAATGTAGGATGTAGATATAAAGTATTAAAATGGGCATAACTTTTCTCCTAAAACTTTCGCTTTTCCTAATTTGCTTTTCCGTACAAACCAACGCTTAATATTCCCTATAGTTACGCTATAACATTTTTCAGATTATAATGGAATCCAACGATATAGAAAAACTTATCAATGACACGTTAAACGAACAAGTACCTAAAGAAGAATTACGTTTACCGAATACCATCCGTCCGTTACACTACCGATTATGGATTCATCCAATATTAGACGAGTACGGTGAGAAAAATTTCACTTTCAGCGGTCGCGTAAAAATCGTCGTAAATTGCCTGAAAGAGACAAACAAAATAGTTTTGAACTGGGACGAATTAAATATCACCGATTCGGATATCAGTATTTACAGTACGAAAGGGACCATGTCGGAATCGCTAAAAACTCCGTTCAGCCATCCACTAACTAGAAGAGACTTGGGAGAACTCGGCGAAGAGGATAACGTAACTATGTTTTTCGCCGAGGGCAATTCAATGTTGACAACCACCGAAGAAACTACCACGGTAACGGCCACGACCGACGCGACGGTGGAAATTGCAGAGACGACCTCTGAAAGCAGCAAAACTAAATCGGAACTGATACCGTGGCCTGTAAAGGAGGTATCTACGAATGAGGAAAATCTCAAACTCACCATTGGTACAGGGAAGAATTTGCAACAGGGCGAAGAATATATGATCGATATAAAATTTACCGGGCAAATACTGAATAACCTGGTAGGATTGTACAGAACCCATTACATAGATTTATCGGGAAAGACGAGGCAAGTACGACATAATAAAATCCATTTCATCATTTTCCTGTTTTATTAAAAATACAGGTGTTTCTAATAAGTGCGTTCTTTTCAAGGGATAATCCATTTATTTATGGTAGGTTTGCAATGACATCACACTACGAGATATAGCACTAGATTGTAGTGGTGTAGTACGAGAGGGTACAGTGTGGCCAGGTTGTAAATTTTTTCAGGATATTTAAGAAAATTAATTTTTGATAGAGAATGCAGTTTATTAGAAATGTCACCTAGAATCACAGATTATGTGTAATCTATTTAAATAATTCATGAAACAGCCAAAAAACTAAATTTAATTTGGAACTATGTAACATAATTCACAATTTTAACAGACATAATCCAACATTTTTGACACAAAGTTTAAATATTGTTAATAATATTTAAAATACAGTTCATAATCGGCGGTACAATTACAACTTACGTCTCTTACAACGGTAAGTGGTAGAAGTAGCCCCCAATTTTCACGTTCATTTTCAAAATAGTTTAATGAGAACCCCCACTATTTCTTGAGCACGCTCGATAAAGATTTCGTCACGCTGCGTTAATGCTTTGCACTGTACGAGTACGTCGTTAATTTATTAGTTCTAAAATAGTATATTACGTAATAAGTGTTGTAAAAAGCATTTTACCTACGACCACTACTGTAAATACTTAAAAACACAACGTCTGCGATCAATGTAAGATCCCTATTACGTAAGGTAAAAAAATCGTACAGTTTTCCTAGCGACCGCCTAGCAACGGTCAATACAATACGGTTTGTATTGACCGTTGCTAGGCGGTCGCTAGGAAAACTGTACGATTTTTTTATCAAGCTGTGCGATTTTTTTACCGTACGACGTAATAGGAATCTTACACTCATCGCAAACGATGTGTTTTTAAGTATTTACAGTAGTGGTCGTAGGTAAAAAACCTTTCATATGCTTCAGTCGATTCTAATGCACAAAAATCTCACGGAGCTGTCATCGAAAATAACGAAAACGTCAAATGTCTGTCAACTGGTGTAGTAATGTAAGGTGTAGTATACTTAAAACAATAAAATTTCCTAGTTTGAGGAAAGCTAATGCGATACAGAACAGAAATTTAGGGTTATTCTGTCAGTTGCACTCAATTACTAAATGTGACGTAATTGCACACTTCTCGTAAATGGACCATAGGGGACGTGAAAATAAACAATATTCACTAAGCAAGCTGTGGACTGAAATATCATATTTTATTATATTTTCGAGATAATAATTGTCAAATCAAAGAAACGGACAGTTTTTAATCTGGCCTCGTTGTGCAGAGTGGACGTAGAACGTCACCTCGCAACGTTTTTTCATTCTAGATGTTTGCTTTATAATATTTTTTTATGAGCTTTCATCATCATAAATCGAAATTAAGTAATTCTACAACTATTGCTCGAAATTATTTTCACGAGTTAAAACGGTAAAAATTATCTGGCTTGCGTTTCATAATCCATTGCTCTGCAAGGCATCTGTCTAACACATTCAGTTTCATACACAGGGTGTTGTTCCACCTAAGAGAGATTCTTCTGTAACTATGTAACTGTTAAATTTATAAAAAAAAATGGTTTTAATAAAAGTTGTCTGGAATCATGTGGGCCATACAAAGAAAATTAGGCGCTATCTAGCCTCATTTAGAGAGCTGAAATAGTGATTTTTTTTTCAAAAACAACTGGTTATCTCGAAAACGGTAAGTTTTAAACACCATCTACATTTAATAAACTCTACCTAATATTAACCTAGGAATTCAAAAATGCAGTAATATACAGGGTGTTCCATTTAAAATAACAAAGTTACGTAACGCCCACGCGAAATCGAACACCCTGTAAAGCTAAAAATATTTTCTTTACATGGCCCATATGATTCCAGGCAACTTTTATTAAATCCATTTTATATAAATTTTACAGTTGCAGAGTTACAGAAGAATACCTCTTAGGTGGAACATAACCAAGTGGGGAGCATTTATATCGGGATAAAAAATCGAGTGTGCAAAAAGTCACACGAGCAGTTGGAGGAGCACAGTTGGAAAAAATTGTTTATTTTCACGTCCTCTAATAACTATCAATTTGAAGGAAGGCGTTTATTTCAGAAACACCCGGTTATAATTCAATAAAGCGATTGCTAACCGAGCTTTCAGGTGGTTGGTAACGACTCATTTTCAGCCGATTCACGCAAGAAGGGTGTTTCCCTGCTTCGACGAACCCAAATTTAAGGCTCCCTTTGAGATAAGCATAGCCAGGAGGACAAACATGACCGCGTTATCCAATACGCCTCTAAGACAGACGGAACCCATGTAAGTATGTAATTAATAATGCTATTCAATGCTATTACATTTCGCAAATGTGCGATCCATTACAGGAACGAGACCACAGGTTGGGTATGGGACCATTTCGAAGAGACACCCCCAATGTCTACGTACATAGTGGCGTTCACAGTGAGCGACTTCGAAAGTATATCATCCGACTTATCGACGACAGGACCCGTAATAAAGATCTGGGCACCCAGGGATGATCTCTCCCAAGCGTACTACGCCTTAAACATCACCCACGAATTAGTGCCGTTCTTGGAAGATTATTTCGACATTAAATACCCCCTGCCTAAGCTGGATATGTTGGTGATTCCTAATTTCGGTAAATCGGCTATGGAAAATTGGGGGTTAATCTCATTTAGGTAAATCGCAGCTCCGTTCATATTAATTTTCTTGATAGTAATTTTGCAACGTTTGCAGAAAGTCTTCCCTCTTGTTCGACACGAATTCCAGAAGCATTAAAACGAAAAGTTTCATAATGGCCAAGGTAGCTCACGAGTTGGCCCATCAGTGGTTCGGCAATTTGGTAACCATGGAATGGTGGTCCGATTTATGGTTATATGAAGGATTCGGAACGTTCATGGCCGAAGTGGCAATCACGCGTGTAAGTCTATATTCCGGTCTAAAATTTCTCAAGGCAAAATTTACCTATCAAATATTTATAATTTTTTAATTTTTCAAAATTTAAGTGTCTCGTGATTTATTTCTATTCTTTTGTTCATCAAATTCAATAAAAAAAAAATATTAGTTCGTTGATATTTATTTTTAGAAGTCGCTCGAATACATTTTAGGTACCTACACTACTAAGAAAGTTAAAATAATTATGAGTGACCTTTAGAAATTAAAATATCGATTTGAAATTTTCAGATTCGTAATTTTTTCAATATAGAAAATGATAACGAGAAAAAAAAATTCTTTTTGACGATTTTGGAAATTTTTAAAAATCTCGAGCGACCTCTAAAAAAATTTTTTTGATTTCATTTTTTTAAAACATAATAAACTAACATATTTTCACAAGACACTAAAAAAAATATATTCGTTTTTTTTTTTTTGGGCCACCCTAGTCTATATGTAAGTATACATAAAAGTATGTAAAATGTATGTGATTTTCCTGAATAATTTCGATAAAATACAGGTTTGGGAGGCTTAATAGTACGTGTTAACAAAATGTTAAAGGTCGAAGGTAGCCTCTGTTATAAATATGACGCCCCCTCAAAGTTACACCCTGTATTGTATAAGAAAATAGTGGCCTACCTAATAGCGATGTTTTTTCCAGCTTCGGCCCAGATGGCACGCCTACAGTAGCATCAAAATCAGGGATACGTATAACACGCTTTACTTCGACACGCTTAAATCGACGCGTAGCATACAGACGCAAATCGAAAATAACGGTCAGATAGATCAAATCTTTGATACCATTATTTATCAGAAGGGCAGCAGCATTTTGAAAATGTTAAACTACACTTTGTCCGAGAACATATTCGTACGCGGCATTCAGGATTATTTGAAAAAATAGTGAGTCAGTCTTAACGCTTAAAAGGAAAACGCAATAACAAAACAATGTTTGATTTTCAGTTCGTATCAGTCTTCGAGTCAAGACGACTTGTGGGCCGTGTTCACCAGAAAGGCGCAAAACGAAAGCGTCATTCCGAATAGTGTAACTGTGAAGGACCTGATGAAATCCTGGTCTACCCAAAGCGGCTATCCCTACATCACAGTAATGAGAAACTATACCGCTTCGGAAGCGGTATTAAATCAGACTAAAATGACCGAAGACACCAATATAACAGCGGATACGTTGTGGTACGTCCCGATCACCTACATGACGGAAAATGATAACAACGTGAGGATTTCGTGGCTGGAAAACGAACGCGAAACCGTCTTAAGTTTGAATAGTACCGGAAATGACTCCTGGTTGCTCCTAAACATAGACGAGACGGGTAGGTTTGGCCGAACGTTTATCACTTACGGGGAATAATATTATTTTTCAGGTTTCTATAGAGTTACTTACGATACCCGCAATTGGAAACTCTTAGTTCGGCAACTCAGACGGGACCCCGGGAAAATTCCAGTGGCCAATAGGGGACAGCTTATAGACGACGCCTTCCAACTGGCGAACGCCGGGATTATCAATTATACCATCGCCTTCGACTTGGTCAAGTACTTGCACATAAAGGAGCCGAATTACATCCCGTGGTATAGCGCGCTGAGGAATGTGGAAGAATTAAGAGTGATAATAAGTAATTACGAGTACTCGGGACTGTACGACAATTTCCTGCTAAAGTTGGTGAAACCCATGTTCCACGAGCTAGGAACGACGCAAGGGAAAGACGACACCCAAAACGAAAAACTGCTGAGGCTCCATATAGTCACGTCTGCCTGCAAACTGAGATACGGACGATGCATAACGTGGGCCAGAAGCAAATATGAGGAGTGGACGCAGCAGCCTAATCCAGATAAAGACAATCCGTAAGAATAATAGCACAGGCACACGAAAAAGAAAGACTAAACCTATGTATCCGAATCCGGGGCCGAATTGCTCCCCGGATTATTCGGATTCAGTCCAGTCTTTGGAACGGACAACTTTTCTTTTTTGTGCGCCCGTGTAGTGATTTTATAATGACGGTAGGGGCGAAAGTGATTGCAAATCTTGTTTGCAGGATACCAATCGACTACAGGTTTATCGTGCAATGTTCGGCCATCAAATCGGGGGGGCCCATCGAATGGGACTTTTTATGGAATAGGACACTGTCCCCTTCAGTCGCGCCGGTGGATCTACAAACGGCTTATCTAAGTTTAGGTTGCACCTACGACCCGTGGTTAATTAACAGGTACCTATGCATTTAATAGGATAACTTAAGATGTGAATAAAGGTGTAATTATACGCAATGTATCACCTATGTTCAATTCATTTAGAGGTCTTTTAATATCTCTTGAGCCGCGAAATGCGCGAAAGGCGTGGCGTATCCCAATAATTCTTCTAATAAGCACGTTGTGAAAACATTGACTCAGATGTGCATCATTACAAGTAGACTTGAACTAAGGCGCTCGGGCATCAATAAAGTAAACTGGCGAACGTTCGTTATATATATTTTTATAGTTTAAATTAAAATAATAAAGAATAGGGCATTTTATTATGATATTTGTAATCGGATCAAAGGCTTGTTTACGCTAGAGCTCGAGAGACTGTGAATAATACTAATAATATGTGTAATGTTTTTAGGACGTAGAATAATTTAGGCGACGGTTGGAATTATGTTTCTGCGCATATGAAGGTCAAAGCTCATAAGATTTTAAAACATCTCTACCTACATTTTTCGTGTATAAAAACAATTACAAGTACCTATATTTTATCAGTGTACCATAGAATACTGAAATAATGCAACAGTTTAAGCTAATGACAATGAGTGGATATTTCGTAGGTATCTAGAATATTCACTGGCTGGAAATATTAGTTTGGAGTATGTACCGTATGTGTGGCAATCCATAAATCATCCGGTGGGCGTCCGGACCGGGTTTCAATTTTTGCGATTAAACTGGAAAAGGATTTATGAGACGTATGAAGACGTGTATTTGGTTTTCAGTACGATATTCCATGACTTTGTTAGCCAGTTGTCTACGGAAATCGATCTGGAAGATGTAAGTGTTTCGATGTGTTTACCGCGCTGATATTTATTTTATGATGCATGACATAATCTTCAAATTTTCAGTTAACAACGTTCTACAAGTTGCACCAAAACGATTTAAAATCCGTTTCCGCAATACTCCAGAGTACAGTGGACCGCATGAAGATACGGATCAAATGGAAGACAAAACATTTGGCATCCGTGGTGAATTGGTTGGAGGAAAATACTATATACTAATTATTAATTATTTTCATCCAGTTACAAACTGGATAAAAATATTTATTACAACGTGTACCTTGAAATGAGAACCTCACCACTACGCGGCAACAAAGAGTGTCCGACATATTTAAATTCTAACATTTAATTTAAATTTGTATATACATAATATAGATATATATATATATTATTTTGTAGAATAGAAAATGTATGTAAAATATACGCAAAAATAGTAAGTACGAGTGTTTGGAGTCGAATTTAATCATAAACGTGATGTTTTGAAAACGGCTCCATAAGAGGAGCGCATTAAAAAATAAAATGATTTTTTTCCTTAGGCCTATCGTCTTTTGTTTTCGAGATATAGGGCGTCGAAGATGATTTTTTTAAATCAAGTTTTAACCATCTTTTCGGTTTGGCTAATATATGCTGAGGACAGTTGCTATACAAAAATTGGTAAAATCATGACTAATAGTTGTCACTCTTCATAAAACCGAGATTGAAAGTAATAACCGGTAGCGACTAATTTTACAATTAGTATTAATACGTGAGCTGTATCTAATAGAATAATGACGACATCCATCTCGGACCACAAAAACCACAAATATTTTCGACTAGTATTAAACTTATTTCAAAGTAATTATATAAATGCGAACTGCAGCAATTAATTGTTAAATATAATTAACAGCGATGAAGGAAGTTTCGGAAGGGGATAATGGAGAACAAAGTTATAAGAAATATGCTTTAATTTTTTGTAATATAGGTAATCCATATACTGATTTTTATTCCATACATATTTCATTAATAATTTTAGTAGATTACAGGATTAACAAAGACAAATCCTATCCATCTGGAATACGAAAGGGTTAGGGGAATTTATGTTATACTCGTCTGAATACGTTAGTGGTGTCACAACGAAAACATTCAGCAATAAATAACGTATTATGCTTAAATTGGCTTAATGTACCTACAATGGTTCTGATGTACATCCGCCGAGAGGAAAAACGGCATAGTACTTTATTGAACACCAGTTATACTACAAGAATCGGTGCAGCCTTTTAATTATTGTGTATCATTAATTTAACACAACAGGTAAGTAATCGTATAATCATAAAATTGATATTTACAGGTCTCTATTTATTTAAAAATTATTATACATATTATATTTCTATTGCAATATACATAATTATATTTCGTACCCAATTCATCTGGTCGTTGGCATGATTATATAAACAGTATGAACAACGCAATTTACATAACGTAATAACTGAAAATTTTTTCTACCAAATATTGATATTACGGTTCCTGAATTTTTGTACGAAGTTTATCATTTTAATTAAACAGAAAGGAATTGTTCTCGCCTCTATAAACAAGAAATGACATCTCTGTTATAACAACACTCACTAAGGTGATTGCAAAGAATCATAATAAGAATATTAAATAGTAAGTGGTACCTTACGTTCTCTATTATTTCTTTACAATTGTTATTTTGTTGGTTGTAGTTATACTCGTACGGAATGTAAATGCGAATAATTACAATACCTATAGGTCAATTTATATTTTTGTACAACCCTTATTTAGATGTTAATAAATGTTAACCAACTCACTTGGGTGTTCCGCATTATACGAGTGCTACGAATTATGAATAATAATAATCATAACAATAGAATTAGGTGGGTACGCAATTAATTTCGAGAGAATTACGGTACTCGCACGTCTTTTTCAGAACCATTAAAACGGATAATGTGGATATAACTTTATTTAAATGTTTATAATTTGATGTTACTTACTAAATGACTAATTAACAATGCGCAATTGTGCCGTCACGAGAATCGTTTTCGATACAGATATTACGTAACGTTTATTTTCAGATCCGTCTGAGGATGTGGAGTTTCTCGAGTCTTCTAGTGCTAGGATATTTCACCTCTGTGAGTCGCTATCGCACTTCGGCTCATCACTTTCTCTATAACTCCTGATATATGAAATCTTAAATGTTTATTTAGGTATGTAGTCATCAGAAGAGGAGCATAGATTTAATAGCAGCTCACAGCTTAATATCCCAGGAGAGGTTGCCGCAAGACGTCGTTCCGAATGGATACCACTTATCCCTTCAACCATTTCCGGCGGACGGGTATTTCGACGGAAAAGTAAAAATCACCGCGACAGTGCAACATAAGACTAGCGAAATAATCGTCCATGCCGACCAAGATTTGGTCGTACTGGACTGTAATGTAACTCAGCTCCTAGCCTCATCTGACGAGTCGACAATTAAGTTAGTACCTACTAGATTTTAGTTAAATTTACATGTTCTTCTCAAAATCGGTGTATTTCTTTAATCACACCTGATACACGTTGTATACTGAAATTTATTATTTAAGGCAATCTGCAACATCGAACACGACCAAATTACCTGTGCAATCGACCCAAAAATTAAGTAAAAAATCCTTGTTTACGATTACCCTCCAGAGTCCAGTGGAACCGGGGGTTATTTTAGAAATCCATATACGATTCACCGGAAGAATATTTAACGACTCGTCAGAGGGCTTGTTCAGAAGCAGCTACGTCGATCCGGTAACTAAAGAAACTAAATGGTTTGTTGCGACGCACATGCGACCGAACTTAGCTAGAAGCGTATTTCCTTGTTTCGATGAGCCCGCTTATAAAGTACCCATTGTGATTACAGTAGGTAGACTTAAAAATATGACCGCCGTTACTAACATGCCTTTGGCAAAAATTGTATCGATGTAAGTATCTAATATTTAAAATCTGCTTGGGTAAACAATTATGGCGGATTCTACGTTACAAATTAACAAAAGAAGTAGCTCTAAACGCGGTTAGTTTTTCGTCTTTCAAATTTGACAAGCAACACGAAAATGTTGTCCCGTCATGAGCAGTAGAATTCCACAACGTCTGTGTAGATTATCATGTCATAGTATACTCAGAAAAAAAAAGAAAAATACCAAGAACTGGCAATAGAAACAGAAAGAATTTGGAAACAAAAACGAGTGCACGTCATTCCGTTTATTATTTCAACTCAGGTAACACACCGCTCTAGTTCAATAAAAACATTCATCCTTCTTACATGTAATATAACATGACCTTTTTTAAATCAGAAATTAACTTCCGATGGAGTTGGTTTTGGCAAGTCCATCATCGAGAGGATACATCGGTGAAAGCTATGAAAAAAAAATAATGATTCAAGTACCTAACTTCTTCAGCACAGACTGGGATAGATTAGAATATTTAAATGATCTATCTTTTCGTTAAGTTTGAATACAATGAAACTCGAAACCGTAACATTTCAGAACAAATATTTATGTGGAGTTTCTTCGTTAATGTGTCAAGCAGAATTCGCCATTTAAATTTAGCCAATGCCAATCGTTTTTAGTTAACCCTGTACAAGGTGATATACATAATTCCTTTTTGTATGCGTCTTACTTCATTGCTATTAAGATATTTGAATGGGATAAAACGTGGACGTATGTAAAAAGTTCTGCGGGATCAGAATATGTAATCAAATAAACAAACAAACATCAATTTAAAAAGACACAGCCGATAAACTGATTTTACGAGGAAAAATATTCTACATTTTTTCCAGAAAATGACATAGTGATTATAAACTTTTCGGTGATAATTATTCATTTGTTTCACCTCCGGCGTGATCGGACATAAATCTTATCAGTATGTACTTATTTTTGACCGATTTCGGATAGGTATTTTCCATTGCGAATCTAGCGATAAGTAATTATCATTTCATAAGCAAAACAATTGTTTCTCTGACTGGATATTCTGATTCCGTATCTTAAAGATAAAGGCATAAATTACCATAAAAAGGGAATATAAATAATTTCAGTTGTAAATGCAACTTATTGTATAGATAAAATATTTCTTATACATTTTTTTATTAAGGGAGAACTCGGATGATTGGGTTTGGGCTACTTTCCTGGAAACGCCACCAATATCAACATTTTCCATCGGAATCGTAATATCGGAATTTACTTCTTTGATCTACAACGTCTCAAATGAGAATGGTGAGTAATACGTCTACGAAATTAAGGAGGTTTAGGTATCTTAGATTTGGAATTGACAAACAAATATTCATAAAAAAATTAATATAAGCGTATTAATATGAAGAAAATCCTCAAACAAAATTATGACTAGTTTGGATACCTAAGAGACGAGATATTAATAAAATAATTTTTCACGATTTAGTACAGAGCCTTATGAGAATGCAGATTTTTTTTGGTCTTTAATTCCATTTAGAATGCGCAACAATTTTTACAGCAACTTGTATAAATAGGAAACCGATATCTAAGGAACCGTATGACAGCTCGTAGAAATCGATTAGTTACTTGTAAGATACTAATTTATAATAATTCTCCTTCAAATTGCTGTCGTTGACTAAGTTATCCTCCATATGCGTTTTAGCGGCAACGCCGCGCAGGTGTCCAAGCAAGCAGAATGATCGAACGCGAGCGAGCGAACGCCGAGGCGAGAGAGCCAGCCAAGTGCAACGTTGACAAATCTAAAAGCTTACTACTTTAGGCACTAGCCAATCTACAGAAACTCTCGTTAGACTTTAGATGTACCTCCGTACCCGATAAACTTCCTAAAGACAAAGCTCGCACAAAAATTAGTATGGCACGAATAAGACCCTAAATGGAGAATAATTTTTTATTTCATGGTTTAGTTTTCGGATAGGTAGCTCGTATATTTTTATTGCGTTACTGGTGAGAATGAGTAATAATTCTATTCCGTCCTCACTTGTATCAATTTTCTTTTATTTAACACAATTTAATACACTAAAGTTTACAAACTTTGACACTTCTCAATAACCAATTACAATCCTTAACATTCCAAATATTCTCTCCGCGCATTGGCGCGTCCGTTTATTATTGCTACTATGTATGGATATTTTTCGTTGTTTCTCGAAATTTCCATGGGTTTCTAAAAACACGATCGAAAGAAACAAAACATATTCTCGAGACATCATGCAAGAAATAAGTAAACAAATATATAAACCACTAGGGCGACATTGACATTTACTACAATATCAACTTTTCAGATACGAGGTTAAAAATACGCGCTAGGCCAGACTTTATATCCGCATTGACAAATGTCTCTGATAAAGTCGTAAGGGCATTAGAAATTTTGGAGGACTTCTGGCAAACGCCTTACCCGTTGCCCAAGTTAGACATTTTCGCTCTCCCAAACTATCAGGCCACGAGGCCGGCGGATGGCTGGGGAATACTTCTATTCAAGTAAGTACATTTTTTACAATATACAGGGTGTAACTTTAAATGGGGACCAGTTTTGTTTTTATGATAATGGTACGTGTTCCCCTAAATACGAATTGAATTAATCAAATAAACAGTAGAGTTATAATCGGTACCAGTAGGTACTCGAAGGTTAGTCACAAAATATGAAGTGTCACGTTATAAAAATTAGGTGAGTAAAGAGGTTATTTATTTATTTTTGTGTATTTCATTTATCATTATGGATTACTGCTCGAGTTTTCTGCTAGGTTACTTCTATCCGAGGTTATAGCCACCGAGCATTGCCTACTTAGTGGCCATATTGGAGCACCGCCCCTAGCATTCAGAGCTAATATATTTCACAGAACGATTACGACGTTAAAACATGTTATTTTTTTGTTAAAAATTGCTCTAGATAAAAAGCGAATATGGCGAGTTCCACGAACTTCGTGAAGATTAAATAAAAGATAAACAGCGTTTTTTTTTAGTACATGCGAATGTACCAGTACCATATACACATTTGATTATTATTTCAAGTAAAATAGATAATAAAGTAACTATATTTTGGAAGAATTGCCATGCTCAACCGATATCAGTTGAAGAAAGAGTAATGCTAACACTGCGGTAAGTTAAAAAACAGCCTTATTTAAATATTTTCCACAAAAAAAGCATTTCACTACGGAATTTGAAAAAATAAATGAATGATACGTATTTCTAAAGGTCAAATGTAGCCCCGGTATAAGTACGACGACCCCAATCAAAGTTATACCCCGTATATTGTGGCATATAAAACCATTGTGATGGCTGCTACGACTAAATGAGACGAGACACTTAATATATACTTAAATGTTGCTTAGAGAAAGCGAACTGAGCGGAAAGGGATCATGGCATATCACTCAAGAGTTGGTCTACCAGTGGCTGGGGGCCTTGGCGACACCATTTTGGTGGAGCGACGCACACATTAACAACGCTCTTGTTAGATTCGTTACTGCTTATACGACGCTCAAGGTAACATTCGGTGTCGAAATGAGAGAATCATTGTATCATTGTTATCATGGCTCTATTTTAGATGGATGAAAACGAGACTTTCAACAACTGGCCGATGACCATGCTGTATTCGATTTATTATGAATTTAGTAAAAGGTATCCCCATGGAAAAAGTACAGCTATTAAACAGGACTCGGCCTCTGCAAAAACTGAGTTGGTATTCAGGATGTTGAATTACACCCTCGGGGAGAGTACGTTCAAGCATGGATTACAAAAGTTTATCGCTGACAGGTAGTAAAATAACTATAAAATATATTTTTGCTAATTACATTCTATGACATATTTTTTAGGAAGTATAAAACTTTCTTTGGAGATGACATTTGGCACTGTCTAACGGAACAGGCTAGATTTGACGAAAGACTGCCCAAAACCATCACCGTCAACGAAATCGCAGCGTCCTGGATTACCAAAGACAGACTGCCTGTCGTTACCGTTCTTAGAAATTACGACGATAACTCTGCAACTCTGACGCAGGTGTTACTCAATAATTAGTGCATCATTTTAAAAATTCCTATGTACCTACCTACCTTCTGTAGTCACACACACAAGCTGTTATTTTAATACATTGTAGCTATGCAACCACATTTTCATCTGACAATATTACGAGATTTGTATTTCAACTTTTCACTTTTTCAGAGGGTGTACTTAAGAGAGCGACCACACGACGTCCCGGACCAAGAAAAGTTTGTTTGGTGGATTCCCATCGTCTTGATAGGGCAAGACCACTTGAACTTTTTCAATTCCACCCCGCAGGTTTGGATGAAACGAGAACGGGAAATAAAAATTAGCCACCTTCCAGGGAAAGACTCCTTTATCATAATTAATCCAGAGGAAATTGGTAAATACGTATCTATTAGTTGTATTTTTATGTGATCATAAAACACACAGCGTGACGATATTTTATTATCCACATACAATATATTTTTTTATTAGCGTACATTTCTTATCGAGGTTGCTTTCAGGGCCGTTTCCTGTAAACTACGACATAAAAAATTGGAATATGTTGGCGCAGTACCTTTGCACAGAAAATAGAACACAAATTCCAGTAAATACGAGGGCCAAATTGTTACACGACGCTTGGAATTTGGCATACGCCGGTGATCTAAGTTTTGCCACTGCTCTAAATATGACTTTGTTTTTGAAACATGAAAGGGAATATTTAGCTTGGGATCCCGTTTTTACACTTATTGACCACATAGGCAGGCATATTGACAGTTCTTCTGTTCATAAAAAATTTCAGGTGATTTTTTAACTAATCCAATTGAAGTACATACAGAGTCTGCATAAATGATTACAAACCTCGTGGCCGCCGAGCTTAGGCAACCAACATTGCACGATTGGTACCATCGAGAAAAAATCCCTAAATCTTGGCGTCATCATCATTAATGATTCGTATACAATGAACAATGACAAACCGTTGCGCCTACGCTCGACATAATGCGATCGCCAATTGGTTGTATAAACTGTCGTGAAAAATTCCGCCAATCCCCAACCAATGAAACAGAATGATCTGTTAATACTTAAACCTTCATCTTATTGTTTTCATAAATTTTAATTTTACCAAAATTTAATTGCCCGCCTAATACAGGAAATAAAGTTACTATTCTGAGCAAAATTACCGGTCACGTGGCTTGTAATCTTTTGGTAACAGTAAGACCTTGTAAGTTATATTTCTAAATTTGAAACAAATATTATTTTCAGTCGTACGTTAGAATTCTTCTGACGCCTCTTTATGAAGAATTAGGAAATGAACCTCAAGAAGGAGAAAGTGAGGGTCGGGCACATTTGCGAAGTTCCTCAAAGGTTTTCTTATGTCAAGCGGGTTACAAGCCTTGCATAGAAGAGGCTCAAACGGCTTTCAAGAAATGGATGCAGAGCAACAATCCCGATGAAGGAAATCCGTAAGTAATCTATCATGAAAAAAAAAAAAAAAACGAAAAAAAATTTCGATACCTCAATATTAATTATTATCTAACTTTCGGAATCTTCAGCTTTTTTAAGATTACACGAAAATTCCATTTTACATCGACTTAATATTTGCATCTAATACTTCATATTACAACATAGCGAATGTTACCCGTAACACAATACATAATTAGAAACGTCGTGTGCGATTGTCTTGTTAGAATGCAGATAATACGGAAATTAACATTTGTTTTGAATTTCTACTCAATGGTTTATTTTTACAATCGAATTTGAAACATACAGGGGCCTATACAAATTTTCTATGTAGAAAATAATAATTATTGAAAATTAATTGTAATAAGAAGTTTTGATGTTACGCTATACTCTTGATGTACTGTTATACAGAGCCTTCATAAATGATTACAAGCCACGTAATCGGCAATTCATGTAGCCAATTAAATTTCGGTAAGAATATTTAAGATTCTGTTTCACCGGCGGGCGATTGGTATTATATTTCACCAGATTTTGTTCAACCGATCGGCGATCGCATGATGTCGGGCGTAGGTGCAACGGTTTGTTATTGTTCATAGTAAACGAATCATTAATATTGGTAACTGACGCTAAAATTTAGGGATTTTCAGTTGACAGTACTTACCTGCCATGCAATGTCGATTGCCTAAGCTCGGCAGTCACGTCGCTTACTAATCATTTATGAAGGCTCCGTATTTCTATTATATGTACCTATTATATGTATACAGTACGCCCATTTATTATTAGGGTAGCAAACCAATACATTTGCCCTGTATTCAAATGGGGGACGCAAGAGGAATGGGAATTCGGTTTGCAGAGGGTTATTAAATTCCCACAGAGCAGAAAACAAAACGAACGAACGTATTTACTGAAAACCTTAGCTGGCTGCCCTAATGATGCCCATAAGATCGAAACGCTGTTGAACATCACTGTTATCGAACAAAACGGCAATTTTACGGACAACGATATTTACCTAATATTTAGCATGTTAACCGGCGGAGCAAATGGCTATACGAGTCTGTTCAATTTCTTGCGGAAGAACTGGGATAACATAAAAATAAGGTGAGTTACATTTTAATGCTTCAGCGACATTCAAATACTATTATTACTATTACTATTTTCTCATTTCATGCGAATATTTAAATTTATATGAAAATCTTTTATTAACTTCTATACAGAACACTAGTGATGACGTTGAAATCGTTCATAATAATTAATCATCTAGGTGTAGGATATAATGCACATACTGTGACATGTATGTACATAATATTAACATCATTTTCTTGTAACAAGATTGACCTAACCATATCAAATAATAATTATTTTATTTGTACAGGGTTATCTAGTGATAAATACGCACTTTAAAGATGTGTGAGCAAATAGGCTTATCTAGCATTACCAATCTGCACAGATGAGATAATCAGTTCTGTATTATAAATACATACATATACACAAAATTATTATAATATGGTTAGGTCTATCTAGTATTGTTTCCAATTAAATTTATTCTATATCAGTTTCTGAAATTATTAAAATAAGAACACTAAAAAAACATTTCTTACGCAAATTTCATTTAGAAATAAAACCGTAAAATTACCCACCTATTAATCTAATAAAAAAAAAATAGAACTAACAATAACGTGTCCTGTAGAACGGTTATACCTAATATGTCTCCCTCAGTTTCATCATTTTCGATAATTGAACCTAATAATAACTGATCAAAATAAGTACGACGAATATCCATATTACAAATACGTTGTTGTGACTTGACTACCAAGATAAGACAGAATGAAGTACTACGTATTATGTAATGCTATTACCTTTTTTATATTCTTGATATTTATTACTCAGTTTATAATATTTCACTTAATAATATTGAGCCGTTCATCAAAATATAAATATTGCTTTGTTCTGATCAAATTTTTTAATTCGTCATTGAATAAAAAAATTCTACTGGTAGTATATAAAAAGTTTACACTTACCATCGTTTTGATTATGAGTCATGGTAAAATTATGGCGACGACAGTGTTTGGGTTGTTATTTAATAAATATTTTGCGAATTATTGAACTTGGTATACCTACTTATTGTATATGTATATTTATATATTATGAACTAACTAGTTAATTAAATAAAACAATAATGCTTGACATTCAAACAAAAATGTGACGGTACAAAAAATGATTAATTAAATATTAGGTCATTAGGTTCTGTACGTAATTATTAATAATTCATGTCAAGCGTTTACTAAATAAGTATAATTCAATCGCGTCGAGTTATATTGTAAACAAAACGAGGCAGGATGTCGTGTTGTATCAAAAATGAAATATTTCCCATTGACCTTTACGTATTTACGTTAGTCTGTTACCTTGTCTTAGGTTCGAGGAAAAACCTCATCTATGGAATAGTCTGATTACGTCAGCCACTACCGTCTTCAAGACACAGGAAGGCTTAGATATGGTGTCCGAATTGTACGTGGAAAGACAAAGCGAATTCGGCACGGCGGATTTCGTTATAGAGAAAGCATTGAGAAACATAAAAGAAGAAACTAAGTGGAGCAACGATAATTTGCCAGTCATAGAGAAATGGTTGGACGAATATCTAAAAGTTAATGATGTGGATCCCACAAAAACTCGTTGAACTAGTGTTTGCTGTTAAATTCTCTTGGATTACTGGGAGATATTTACTAATCTGTAGATAATTTTGTTTATGTATAATAAAATATTTATTGTGGCATAAAGTGAAAGTAAAACATTTGACTAAAACAACACGGCTATATCCAATTTCTCTTCAGGAAAGCCAGGACTGTGGCTCTGAGTTTCCTTCGGTGGTTGGGCCCCAGTAAGTCCCTACGGCTCCAATCGGTGTCCTCGAAGTCCTCTAAGCTATTTTGCACCTTGCCTCGTTCGGTGCAAATGGGTTTGAGCATCACTAAAACGTGATACACCTCGGAAGGTCCCACCTCGTTCAGCTCTTTCTGGAAAGCCTCCCAAGAAAACAGAGTTAAGTCCAGATCGAAGTCTTTCAGGTTATCTATCAAACTTTCGTGGTACAGCCCGAGGAACTCGTCGTAGTGCATATCTAACACGTCGTTTATTACACTGGTAAACAAGAAAAAAACCAGGTCGCGTAGCGCCGAATTGTACGTCATTAGTTGGAGGTCCACCATCTTGTTCATCAGGGGTTTCCCGTTTTCGTCCCTCAGCAGCATCGTATTGCTAGTCCAATAGTCGGAGTGCGACATGGTGCCCCACGGTTCATTGGGTGGAGGGCGCAACACAAAGGGATGTTCCGCCGCATAGTCTACAACCTTCTGTATACGTTCCATATATGGCTGCAGCTCTTCGATTTCCTTGGCTCCTTCCATGATACTTTCGTGGAATGCCCTTCCCACCTCCTCCGGTAGCTGCTCCAGCCCTTTGTTCTGCACCAAGGAGGGCATTATCTTTTCTTTGAACACATCAGGTTTGATAAGCTTTAGTGCTATCGGAAGCGCGTGGAATTTTGCTAAATCTCTGACGACTATCCTGGTACCCTCTAAGTCGAAACCGGTCAGCCTGTCTTCGGTTTTGTAACCCAGCAGTTTTAAATTCTCAAATATAAGCACGCCGTCCTCATCGACTTCATTGCTGTTTCCGTCTAGGCTGACCCTGGCACCGTAACACTTTGGAAATATATTTATAATCTTTTCTTCGGGTACATTGTACTCTCTCTGTAATTCTATCAGGGCCGGAATGGACTCCGTGTAGGCGAATACTTCTTTTTTGAACGTCACATATATATCGAAAGCTACCCTTAACATTTCGTTTGCCGGAATCAGTTTAGCCACCAAGTTCAAAGTCTCCTTGTTTCCATCTGAATTTTTCATTGTTACTTCAAGCGCGAGCATCACGGACCCGTAGTGCTCACCGGGCGCCGTCAAGAGAGAAGTTCTTTGCGCCAGAATTTCGACGTTTTTTCCCAACGTTTTCGACAAAAGACCGTCCAAATTGTTTACTTTCGATTTCACCATTTCGTCGCCCCGTCAAACGGTGAATGATGAACTACTTTATAAATAACGAGCGCAATAACTAGTAATCGCACTTGAACTAATCAAACAATCTGTTTCGCCAGACCGTCTACAATTTACGGTCCTCCGTCACGTGTTCGCAGAAAGTGGGGGCTTTAATAGTTTGATAAGAGTAATTATTGCTTCGTTCGAATTAGACGATCGTTTAATTTGTCCCTTTGAACTTGTTAATGAGTATTTTTGCAAATAAAATGCATGTTTATCAATTTTAATTCACTAATGGAGGGGGGGGGGAGTTCGCTCAATGCCACTGATTACGACTAGTCAAAACACATATAACGCATAAGGAAGTCCGCTAATACTAACGCACCGCTCTTATATCTAGAGACGAATATTTTTAACGTCTATGAAGATCCAAGTACCCGTTGCTTGACTGGCAGCTTACCAATACGGGAAACGAGAAACTATTTTAATACTAGTTAGTTTAGTCCAGCAGGAACGCAGGAACGAATCTAATACACGACGTTTCTAAATAGCGTGGAATATACATTGTATTTTGCCTTCTTGTTACTTCCATTCCGCGTACCATTCCTTTTTTTTGCTTAAAATACATGTACCTACGTCACGTGTTTGTCTATCCACTAAAGGTATAGAAGCAAGTAAATTATAACAATTATAATTTTTTATAAAAATTATAATTTAATTTACGCATGTATTTAAATGTCGCAACAATTCTGATATATTTGAAACGAATAGAAGGATATGACATCCGACACGCCAAACCTTTTACGTGGTGATAGTTAACTCAAAATAAAAAAAAAAACTCTCATATAGCTACATACATATGAGAGGGAAATGCTTAGTTTCATAGATAAGGAAGTTGGAGTTACAAAAATGATCATATTTTTTATCTTAATATCACATTCCTTTTATGTAACCATTACTATGTAAAATCAAGTGCAAATTTTCCAAAAAAAAATAAAAATTATTATTAAAGCACCTGTAGGAAAATTGTAAAGGCAGATTTTTAGTAAACTAATTAAGAAAATAATAACTCTATAGCGGCTCATTTTTCGAAAAGAATCGGTCACTTTTTGTTTTAAAAAACTAATTTAGTGAATTTATGCCTTTTATTGGGTAAATTATTAATCCACATTTCATTTATGTAGTCTACACCCATATAACTTGAGAGATATATCTAAGGTATACATATGAATAAATAGTAAAATTTGGCAGATACAATTCGGAATACTCATCAAATAAATATGGGCATCCTAACACCACCGATAGCAGAGCCATAGATAATAGAGCACAGCATGAATATCAATAAAAAAAAATTGCTTTTACATCTGACAGTCAGACAGGTCAAACTGCTGGATTAGGCAATAGAGATGGGCGTTGCAGTTCACTTTGCTGAATAGTTCATTTGTGAACTACTCACTTCAAAGAATAGTTTATTTTTACAGTTCGAAATGAACTGTAGTTCTTTTGCCTTGACTCAATTTTACTACCTATCTTCCCCACCACGAATGAGCTGCTCAGTTCAGCATCGACACCTGACGGCGGCAGCGGCAATGGTTTGTTTTTAGAATTCTGAAATAATTTGTTCGAAATGAATCGTTCACGAACTATACATCTCTCAATTCTTAAATCTCCAGTAGCCAGCGACAGTAGCATGATCCTCATCGCATCACCGGTTGGTTTCGGTTTCAACCTATGAACATAGTATAATCTAGCTAGGCGCACGCGCACGTTCGCAGTTCAAAACGAACTATACATTGAAAGAATGATGAAACAGTTCGTTCAGTTCGTTGGAAGTGAATGGTTCTTTTCAACTATTCGTTCACGAACTACACATCTCTATTAGGCAACATTTCGTAGCTGCCCGCTGTCTAGTAGGTTGCGTTTAATTTGCAGACGGTTGTAAATCTCTGCAAAAAGTCAGATTATATCGAGATAAATAAATATGTTTATTGCCTATAATACAACATTATTACACATATCAATTTAGACGTAATACTTAAAGAACATACATACATATATAAGTAATGTGATGTTGAATAATTTAGTTGTAAGACAAAGGTCAAGATTGGTAGATACTAAATCGGCTATATATTCGATCTTTCGAATTCGACACAATAACAGTTTAAAAAATATCCATGAAAAACAAGATTAATGACTTACATTACGGAAACACTACTTACAAGGTATGTTTATTCTATATAAATCGACTTTAATTGAAATAAGATTTTTCAGTGCAGTATGATAGCATTTACGTTAAATATAGAGGTTAGGTTGTAGTTCGTTTTAAACTTGTACATGGCTGTCTAAAGAAAATAAAAAATAATTACATCTGCCTTTAAAATACAAAATTATTAATTAATGGTCATAACGTATTTATATCTTTAAAGGAGATGACCAACTTTAATCCTGTGAGAAACTGGGCACCATGTGAGGAGCTTCTGTCACAGTATAAAAATTCTGATTATGCTGTGATTATTTTAAACACTCCGATCAATTTTAATCAACATTTCATATTGAATTTATGGAACCAAGGTGAGTCACTAACAATGGAGTAAATCTAAGGAAATTTAAATTATGTTGTATTACAGCCAAAGTGCGAATAACAGTAGATGGAGGAACAAAAAAATGGTTTCAATGGTTAACCAGCCACGAGAGGGAGTTTAAGGAAGCTTTACATCCCGACTTAATTACAGGTGACATGGATTCCCTACCGAAGGATGTGCTGAATTATTTTGAAAAGCGTAACTCAAAAATTGTTGTAACCCCGGACCAGGACGAAACGGATTTTACGAAAGCTTTAAGAGAACTGAAAACACATTGCAACATGGAAAATTTGCAGGTATCCAATATCAGCCATTGGTTACGAATATGTTTGTTGCTTACTGTCTTTTAGATAGACACTGTATATGCCCTGGCAGATACGAGTGGACGGTTCGATCAGATCATGGCGAACATCAATACTCTATACAAAAGTAGAGATATATTGAAAAACGTCAAGATATATCAGGTGGCTTCTTCTTCCCTGACGTGGTTGCTGTCGAAGGGGCAGCACTCTATAAGCATACCAGCAACGTTGAGGAAAAACCAAGAATGGTGCGCGCTTATACCCGTCGGCAGCCCATGCGTCGTCTCAAGTACTGGATTGAAATGGAATTTAGGTAGAATATTTTTTTAACGCTAACATCACGGCAATACAAATGGGAGAAAGACAGCATTAGTGTAGCGAAAGATTTTTAACCTGTCCTCAGAGTGAACCGTTCTAAATTTTGTTCTTTCAGTTAACACCAAATTGGAATTTGGATTCCTTGTTAGTACATCTAATACGTACGATGGTTCCCCCGAAATAACCGTAGAAACGGACGGTCCAATTGTGTGGTCGATGGGAATAGAGACGTTATTATCGTGAAAGTACACCTAGAATGTAATAAAAGTAGTTATCCAACAGACTAATAAGGAATAGGAAAATTTAAATTTCTTGCCACCAAAGAAAGCAGGAATTCGTAACGCACTAGGTCCAACGATGCATGTCCGTACCTTAAAGGAGGGTCTATTCGATAGCTAGGACCGAATTATCCTGATACCTAAACAAGAAGAAAAATAAATTGTGGTGTAATGCCATTTTCTTGTGAAATGGTCAAGGGCTAGGGTGTACTTATTTTTTAAAATTTGTAAAGAAAAATAAATATATTTTATACAAGGGCAAAAAGGTTTAATCAAATATCAATCACCTCCATTATTCATATCGATGCTTTAGTACGAAAACATGCTATCTCAGATTTCAGTTGGAAAACATGCTAACTCAAATTAAGCTTGGAAAACATGCTATACAGCGGGACACGCTGTATATTACGTATACACTATTTTTTTATAATTTGTTAATTCAAAAAACGTCGAATAATGGAAGTGTTGCAGCATACTGCATATTATTCTATTTTTTTTTTAATTAACAATTTTGCCGTTTATAACAGTAACTTAACAAAATTAATTGAAAAATGTTGAATAAAAAAGTGTACCTGAACATAAACTTTTTGAAAAATATTTGTATAAGTTTATTATAAATGCACGGTTTCTATCATTCAACGTGCCAACTTAAATTTCTAGTCACACTGAGACAGCATTTTTTTCGAACAGAAATTTGAGATAGCATGTTTTCCAACCGAAATCTGAGATAGCATGTTTTCGTACTAAAGCGTCGATATGTTCTATTTGTGTTTTTTTTTTTTGAGTTCCATGAGAAAATTTCCATTTTGATAATTTGCACATTGCCAAAGAAATATAAATCGTAATATACAGGGTGTTTCATTTATAATTGGATAATACTTTGATTATGATATGATTTTAGTTAAAAAAATAGTTATTTCAAGTTTTTTGCAATATATTCTTCCACATTATTTTCCTTATTTGTTCAGTATTTCTTTATCATATTTGAGGTAGAAAGTTTAGATACTTTAGGAAACATCGTTGTTACCGAAGCGTACGGCTAGGAATAGAAAAGTAGTTCGACCCCTCTAAATTCTGCAACATTGGTGGGACTGTTATTTCAGTGACTTTTTAATTTTGAAACATTTTCTATAAAATATAATGTATTCTTGTTTCACAACAATAAAGTGATTAATTTTTCGGTATAATAGAAATTAAAGGTAGGGCCACGCAATATTCTATTAAGTCTGGAGTCGTTTTATAGACAAGAAATCACACTTCTAGTAAGGCAAAGATAGAACAAGAAAATCTATCCAAGCTATAGAAATTTTGAAATACAAGGATTTCTTTAATTTTTCGCAGTGAAGATCACGGAAAACATGGCACCTTTCCTGTTTTGTCGAGAATTTTGTACAAAATACTCAATAATTATGATTAATTTATGAGTAAACAGTTTCATGAAAGCATAATGCAGGGTGTGATTATGTTTCTGGTACAGCACGTGGTTCTCTGTATGATCAATGGGCGTCGGGAAACGTTATAATAAACAAGAGGTAAAAATATGCTTTTCTGTTATCTCCATTCTGAATCTTGTCAGCTTGTAAACCGTCTTATCCCCTGGAGAAATATTTTATAACTGGTACAGTGAAGAGGTATTCAAACTTGCTTAGATGTTCTAAAACCTTTATCAAAAGAATGCTAAAAATTCATTAAAAACGTCCCTCTAAATGTTCCTTTTTTATTCATATTTGTACTGACCATTTCGGCAACATTGCCCATAAAATTGCATTAGGTGCATGAAATAAAAGTTTAAAATAAATGCAACTTTTGGGCAATACTGGGTACCCCAGTGAAAAGTGTATATGTTCTCTAAACAAAGTAAAATTTGATGTATGTGGCATCATCGATAACTTTTAAAATTGAAAAAGCTTTGGTCTGTAATGTTTTTTTTTTAATGCAAATGCAACTAATCGATACAAATATGAGCAATGGACAAAAAATTAAAATTAGAATATTGTGCGGCTCCATCTTGGTCAATTATATAAAAAAATAATCACTAGCATTTTGAAATAAAGGTAGGTAGGTACATTATATTTCGTATAAAATGTTTAAAAATTAAAAAAATCAGTAGTGTAGAAGTTTAATGTTATTTGAAGTATGTACCTAAATTTACTGCGAAATATAATACAGAAATATTAAATAGTATCAAAAAAATTTTTGAAACTTCGAAACAAAACCCTGTAATCTTAGTAAGGAGGCACATTTTATTTAAATCCTTTAGATTAAATCTTCATATTTTACATCTTGCAGATTGTTATTAATTAAAAAAATGTAAAGAATATCGATCGATGTAAAACTGTTCTTTAAAAAATTAGAAGCGTTTTAAAAAACAGAACATGTAAATTACCTCCAGTAACATAATTCTTAAATAATAAAATATCTTTTCTTAAGTAAAGAAATGTATAACAAAGCACACTAAATTGACTTTCACTACTTATTTCCCTTTCTAAAGATGATTGTCCCGAATACTAACCACAAGTAATTAAATATAAATTTGACCAGCTGTTACAAACGGTGAAGCACTTTGTAGTGGTTTCATGAAATTTGCATGTGATGTGTTAGGTATAACCTCTGTAAATGTTGGGAAAATAATTATGTTTTCCATGTAGGTACGGAAAAATTAAACTAGAAAATATTTATATTCATTAAAAAACTTAAAAATTTATGAGAATAATACTGAAAATGAAACTAGAACAAATATAAAGTCTGTGATTTACATGTTTACTGTGATTCTTTTAAGTATGTGTATTTTTGAATAAATAAATTTTAAAAAACGTCTATATATGTATTTTTCTGTTTTGTTTTAATAAGTGTTTAGAATTTATTAAAATATACGTTTAACTATTATTATAGTACGAGTAATATACACAATATGTTGACTAAATATGTAGACAAACTTTTAAGGAATTTTAATAACTTAATATGAACATAAGTCTGTTACGGTTCTGTTTTTCAGATGTTATTATAGTTTGGAACAAAATTTAATTTTTTTTCTATTACCTAAGTAGCACCCTCTAATGGACATTCAACGGCAAGTTTTTTTTAAGCAAAAACAGCGACTCATTAATTCATTATTTTCAATTAGATAACTTCAGTGGTTAAGCCAGATAAAAATTGCACAAGGTTAAGTTGGAGTTGAAGTCCGTTAGTTTTAATAAATTAAATTAGCTCGTTTTAATCAAATGCCTCGTACCGGTAAGTTAATACATAAAAAAAGACAATTTTAAGAAAACAGAGCAGTCCTTTGAACATTAAATTGAGAAAATTAGAAAATTTTAGGTTTCTAACACAGGAAAAATGTTCGACGTTTTCCTGGAAAATGATAAATTATTATTTCTAATGCATCTTAAATTATGTGAACCATATTATTAGTGCAGAACTAAAACATAACAATATTTGCAAAACCAGCAATATGGTTTCTATGGCGAATTTGAAAGAAATATTGGTGTCTATATGTTTAAACCAAAGTGAATAACTCTATACATGATACTGTGACTCTTTCATATGTTTTGCGATGTGACTGCGGATGGAGGTTTGTACGATTCTGATTTTACGTAACAAACACAATTAATTAAGAGCGACTGAAACAAGGCAGGTTCGCAGAGGTTTTTCGGGACAGTTATAGAAGAAATTATACTATACATAAGATAATTGATTGTGTTCAAGCTAGTTCACCGACACAAATTTCTGTAATCCTCACGCGGTTTTGTGAGATACATTCTCGACCAGAAATAACTTAAATTTATCGAAACTAGACCGTCCCGTATTCCGTATTTCGAGGCGGTCGCTTTTATCAGAAACCATGCCTAGTGGTGGGGATAAGCCACAAGAATAGCAAAAGCACGCCGCGCCGCCGCGTTGCCGTACTAGGTTACTGAAATTTCAAATTTAATGCGACAGACGCCATATAAGGTATCCTAATGAAGTGATGTTTTCTATTATTTGAAAAGAATTGCATTCTCTTTCAGATCGCTAAAATATTGCCAATTCCGATCTATTAAACTCTAGTTTATAAGTAATAGGTGTTTATGTAAAACTTTTAGAATTCATAAAACATCATGTGACTATTAATTTGAAATGTGAAAGGTACACTTTGAAAATAAATTGAAAATTGTCGTTCTGAAGAGGCGATAATTTTGATAATACAGGGGGGTGTCCTTTAGTCCATATTATAACTTCACGTCATTTTAGACCGAAAGATCTTAATCAACCGAGGAACTAAAACGCCACTGCTTTCTAATATACGTGGTGTGTTGAAAATGTCTCAAGATATTGTGCGTAAATTGACGAAACTTGGTCTAGTGATTTAACTATGGGCAAAATTTGTTTATTACCAACAAATATACCAATCAGTGGCGAAGATACGTCGGCAGACACCATTATTATTATTATTATTATTCAGTTTCAATTAATTAACAGTTGAATAAATATATGCATCTTTAAAACTTGGCACACCAATTCGCAAAATAGGTTTTACTTTTTTTCACAATTCCATTTTAAATGCAGAATGCCTAATTACCGAAAGTCAAATCATATTGTAGTATTGCTCTTACACAATTCTTCAGATAATTAAAATTTTCTAATGATTTTTTGGACTTTCGACGATTACATTTTATTTAGTTGTATTTGGAACCAAAAAATTCTGTAAATATATTTTGTGCTTCAAATAGTTTTTGATTTATTTTCAACTTTTCGAGTTGTGTAGTGAGCTAACATTAATTTTAAAACCTGAATAAACGGGAAAATTATTCTTTTTTTCAAACAAAATATTATTTTCTTTGAGATACGATTACATGCCGAATAAACTAATTACTCATTTCTGAGGTTTTCAATAACAGTGTCTCTTAGAATATCAGTCACTGTTGGCATATTTGTATTCAATTTAACGAAATTTTCTGTCTTTAATTTAAGCACTACCTCAACTTTCATCTATCTACGTGCAACATCAAATCGCCAAGATACGCGCCAGGAAGAGAGGACATAGACTTAAAAAACACCGTGTATAGATATCTACTCAAAAATTATAATACTTGGCAGGATACCTGACAAGATACCCATTTGTTATAACAGTTTAACACTACTCCTACGGTTAATATAGGTGGGTACATTTAAAGAGTATTTTGAAAGTAAAAGTTTTAATATTTTTCAGCAATGACAAACAATAACATTTTCGACATTTTGCCGGATATGCCTTTTTATTTGAATATGCATAATTCCGTTTAGAAATATTTGCCCAAGATTTTAAGAATAATATCTTGTAAGGGAATAAGACTTTTTAAAAGTAATATTTTGATTGTTGTGATAACGACGAACAGTCGTTATGTTATTTACAGCGCGTTAAGTTACATAGGTACCTACCTACTAACAATGAGAGTAGTACCTGGACGGTCCAAACGAATTTTTAGTTTTTATCTAATTTATAAATGTAATAAATATTGGTACCTACAGGTGTTGTCATTTGAAGAAATGTCGGATGCGAATCTACCTACTAATTTCGTTCTTCACATCAAGTCAGTCAGTAAACGATCGCTTGTTTCAGCAAAGCCGTTATATTTTTAGAACCAGATACAATCATAATTATACATTTTAAACCTGACTGACTGGGCCACTGGCCAAATACAAAATGGCTAATTACTTTCTATTCCTACGTATCGTGAACATACAAGTTTATTATTGCCTTTATGTCCACGATTTTTAAAAAATGTCGCCGAGATCACATTTAAATCTTAATACGAAAATAAGGACTTGATAGCTCGAATCGAATTACCTACTGTTTCCGCCACTAGTGCTAATAATATTGACGTTGTCTATGTAGCGGAATTGAAATTAGGTGGTACTCGTATAGGTATAGGATATACATTTCAAAAAAAATATCACCAATTATTAATAATTATTATAAATAACTTCTAAATACAGTCGCTGTTTGATATAGATTTAAAAAATTAATAGGTACCTACTGACCATATCGGGGGACTAGAATGTGCTGACAACTTATTGATTCCTTAGGAATAGCATGGAAATCCGCCTAAGAGTATGAAGAAACATAAAACTACTTCGTTATTCCTATTTCTAAACAAAAATTCAGCCCAAGATGGGACGTCGTGGGCGGGGTGCGCACGCACTAGGGAGCCTTCTCCGAGGAGCCTCTCTGGGGCCGGGGACACGGCAGTCACTGCGGGCTCCCCGAGTTGTGTGGTGCTCCTGGACCGCTCTTTGTCATCAGCTGTAAGTGATCTCATATTCTTTTGCAAATAATATCTTAAAACTATATCCACAACAATGTTTTTCTAAACCGTGATTTGCTCTTGTGCTTTGTCAGTGATGCATGCCTTTAGTGCTGCTGTTAGTGTCACACTGGATGACCGAATGTTAATTCTGTTTCTCCTAAAGACGAGCCTTGCAGTCCAGAAATTTATATATTTATAAACTTATCGGTCTGAAGAAATCCAAAATTTTTATGTACATATGTTTAAATGGGGTTTGTTAATTTGCCGCATTAAAATAGTAACCACCAAAAACTGCAACAAAATATTATTTCATTTCTAATAAAGAATTAAGCATAACAGACTGTATACAAAGTTCAAATATTCAATAACAAATTTTAGTAATACGAGTATTGGGACTCGAGCTGTACATTATTGAACATTTGCTTGCTAAGGGTTCCATGCGATATTTTGCGGGACTTTCAGAGTCGTTAACTTTTCGATCGTTCTCTAATTTTCCTTTCCTATTTTCTGTTGGCAAATTTGCAAAATAACTGTAACTTTAGGCAAAATTTTTCGGAAAGTAATACCCATCCATAAATAGGAATATTTCGAAATTTATTTTTCTATCGACGCTATTTGTTTCTATTCGGAATATCTATATACGAATAAAATAAAACGTCAGTGTTGCAGAAATTAACTCTTACATAAAGCAGCAACACAAATCCTTCCTTCATTCGTAGGTATTTATGGTTTACAGACAACAACGTCATTACGAATTCTACAATATTAACAACAAATAACATATTTCGTTACAAGTTGCAAGCCCCCTCGTTTTTCTCGAAAGTTTTATTTTTGGACTTTAGAATCCGGCTTCGGCGTCCAGGAATAACGAAGGCGCTGCCAAATACAGTCTGGCGTCGCCGCATAGAGGCGTGAATCTCAGCTTTTCAGACTTCTCATGTTTTCAGGTGGCTACGTGCGCACAAAACTCCCACTTCTCGTTTTAATTTTACCTCCCTATTATTTAATAAATATGCAATCTTGTTACGGCACGTTTATTTAGTGATTTTGCCTTGGGTAAAATGATACTTAGTAAATAAAAGTATTTTTTGAAGATTCGTCCGGCCTGTTCAATATTTTCCCATACATTTCAATGAAAATCTTAATTCTCTTTCCGCTATTAAAATGCTTTATAAGACGAAATGAGTAGAGTAGAGTAAAAACGTGGAAAAATGTAAAAAAACAAACAGTAGCAATCTCGGTATACATAAAAGAGAAACCAAGGAGTAGCACTGCATTTACGGATTTATAAATAAACTGGTGCCATATGATTACCACGACAGCTAAATATAGCGAACATCTCTTGTTCCCCATCCAACTTTCGAGAACATATTAAGCAACAATAGCTACATTATATACCTACACATTAACGCCTAAAATATTTGTTTATTCAGTATTGCCAGGCGACATCCGTACCGTACATCTACATTCTTATCTTTTCCAGGATTGTAACTAGATCACCCTAGCCATGTCCGACGAAGAAGAAGTCTACTCGTAAGTGTAAAATTACCGTCGCCCTTAGGTGCTTTCTGCATATTTTATATACCTAAGTATTATGTTTTTGTAAAGTTTTGTATCTCGAGCTTCGTAGCTAACAGTACTTCAAATACTATATATGTTGTCTTTGTGATGAAATGTTATGTTATGTGATTTTAGCGAAGAAGAGGAGGAGGAAGAAGAGGAGATCATTGAAACGTAAGTGTCATTAATTAATGCGAAATATTTTTTGGGTACATGACTCTCCCCAAACCGGCTAATGTAGAGCAACAGATGTTCATATTCAATTCGAATATACAGACAGGGTGTATTTAAATGAAGAGGCACAAATGATACCAGAGATTCATAAGATGAAAATAAGTGATTTAACCTAACATACCTTATACTGGGTGTAACGTAAAGGTTGGGAATAAATTAAACGGTGGATTATTTGGTTTAAAAAATAATTTTTTCTCATATGAAGTTATGCTCTACGGGTTTTCTTTTCCAAGCTACAGGGCGCTAAAAAGTTTCAAAAAATTTAGTTTTTCTCCAATAAATTTCGAACATTATAAGATAATGGAACGAAATTTTAGCCTTAGCTTAATTTGATAATCCCCTAGTTACAGGAAAAAAATTGACTTTGTAAGTTACTCAGTGGCGCGCGTACGGATTGTACCATAAGGTTTTTCGAAGAAAATTGTGGTACGCCACTGGTAAAAACATCTTTTTAATATTTGTTTATGATCTACTTTTTATTTTAAACAAAATTACCCTCTTGCGTTTTACTTCTAGCTCTTGTAATTTTTCCGTAAATAAAACTTTTGTAAATACCATTTTATCCCACTGCTAACAGAGGAATATAAAAATAACAAATATCCCAAGTCGTTCGGGGCGCCTTCTGCCCCTCTGCAGGCAATGTTATGCATTAAATATATATTAACTCTTTTACCAGACCTCGTACATACAGCTATTAGTAATAAAATATGATATATTGGACTTTTTCGAACAAAAAAGGTATACTTATTGAAAATGGCCAAAGTTAAGCCTTGTGGAGATATTTTTGATTTTATAAATTAGTCTTATTAGTCTTCGGATTTAATATAACTCGTCCAAAACGGACATTTCTATTAATAAATTCAGATCTTTTTTGTTCAAAAAGTCCAATATTTCATATATTGTTACTAAAAGCTGTCTACGAGGCCGACAAAAAAGTTAATAAAAAAAGATTAACGTATTATTTTCGCTGCCCTGAAAAAATCTCTCGCTAGAATATTTAAAACATGTCTGACCAAACCTTTAGACATAATTAAGGAAATACCATTTTTTTCACTTTGACACCTTGTATCTTTTTTATTATGCTACTTGGGATATAGTTAAGTTAGGTTAAATCAACATATTATTTTCACCTAAGGCATTTCTGATATCATTTGTGCCCCTTCGTTTAAATACACCCTGTATATTACATTCCCTGTTTTGTAATACGCATACGTATATCGATACGGCACCAGAGTAGTAGGTAGTTTACCGAATACTCTCTCAACTCTGTTCAAATTATTTATGTGGCTCATTTTTCTGCTGAACAACATTTTGACGTTAATGTTTAAAATCAGCAGAATTACTTAGATGACTTTAGTGGATTTCTCTGCATCTCGAAGAATTTGAGATACGAGCTATAAGTTGTCGAAAACTAAAATTTAAAAAAATAGATGGCGAAAACCGTAATCCGATTCGGCGTAATAACCTTTTCATTTACGTTAATTTCGTTATTTTTGTAAATGAAAGTTTAGTGTAGACTCTACACTAAACTTTCCTAAAATAATTTTCGCATATACTGTACAGTCGCTGCCTCCATCGATACGTTATGCGTAAATTCAATATTCGTTAACCCTTTTTATTGAGATTATTAATCTTTTATGTATTTTCTTTGCAGAAAAAAGTAAGTTTTACACACCTCTCACCCAAACATTGACCCACGTGACCTTGGTAGAAAATCGTATGTGTTAAAATAGAATTTGTAGCTTTGTAGTAGTTTATTAATTTTAGATGGATATTAGTAATCCCACTAGTTAGTAGTAAAATTTTTTTAAGAAAATTTTTACAAAGGTTACTTAGAAAATTTTTTCATTTTGATTTTTTCCTTTTCACCTGTGACCCCTTCTGCCCCTTGTGCTGTACCATATAGGACAACTACCACCACTACCACCAAAGTCGAGTAAGTCTACGAGAAAAGGCAAAATAGCTGGCAGTCATATTGCTTTTCAGCTGCCAAGAAATTCGCGAACTACCTTTTGTATATAAACATTCTATACTAGACGATGCTTATTTTTTTGTCAGATTTACCTACTTTTTTAGCAGTTTATATACAAAAAGTATATTTTTTAACATGGGACATAATGATTTTTATGAGCTTTTCCTTAGCTTCAACAAAACAGCATTATGTATGTACGTATGTACTTAATAATTTTGTGAATGTGTTTTTGTTTTTACCCTCGGTGAACGACGCGGAGTTGGCCATTTTAACAGTATTTTTGTTTTTTTTCTTACAGTTTTCGTATAATCCCGTTTTTTGTTCATTTTTATTGTAAAAAACTTAACTTTAACCTTATATTATATTAAACAATAAGCTTAAATTAACCAAATAACAATTATTGTGATGATGTACCTCTAATATTTTGGCATCACAACAAAACCAATTAATTTTACTACCTAACGAGTCTTAATTTTTCTGAAACATTCTTAAATATTTCTCTTCATACATATTTCGTTTACTATAAACAGGATGTCCCGAATCGGCAGAGATTACGATGCTATTTCGGAGACCGTTAACATGAAAATAAAAAAACAATAGCACTGTTCCTAGTCGCATTTGATTCGAAATAGTGAAATTTGAACTTTGATGTCAGAACGCGCAAGCGTCTGACTGATGGAAACAGTTTTGGATAGCTCTAGGAGCAAGGCTATTGTTGACGTCATATTCGCTCATTTGTTTGAAATTAAACTTTCAGTTTCATTTTTATTAATCTCTATCTTGGACGATTCTCCAAATAGCATATACTATTACATACATGTTTAATTAGAAATTGTCGAAAAACAATAAGACGATATAAAACGTAATGTCTTATGTAATTTTTACCATACATTCGGCAAATAAATATATTAGTTATTCCCTGAACGATTTTTCCGTGTATATTTTACGCGCGACATGCTTGAACAGCGAAATTTGATCATCGGCTGCTTTCCCGCGAGGACTTTCGTATACGTAAACAATAGAATATTCGACGAAACCGTTTTAAAATTCACATGTAACTTTTACCACAGGGAAGGACCGGGCGATCCAGAATTTGTCAAGCGTCAAGACCAGAAGAGATCCGATCTCGATGAGCAGCTGCGCGAATACATCGCGGAATGGCGTAAGCAGCGCGCAAAGGAAGAGGAAGACCTCAAGAAGCTGAAGGAGAAGCAAGCTAAGCGCAAGATTGCCCGTGCCGACGAGGAAAGGAAGATGGCCGAACGGAAAAAGGCCGAGGAAGAGCGTCGCGTCCGCGAGATCGAGGAGAAGAAACAGCGGGACATCGAGGAGAAGAGACAACGTCTCGAGGAGGCAGAGAAGAAGAGGCAACACATGATGCAGGCCCTCAAAGACCAGAACAAGAACAAAGGCCCCAACTTCACCATCACCAAAAGGGACGCTTCGGTAAAGTTCTAGCTTATTATCAGAAGACTTTGCTTCTTGCAAACGAATTCCCTAAATATATTATACAGAGTGTTTCCAAGCGAATTACCACAAATGGCATATTAAAATGACCTTAGTAAAATGTACACCCGCTTGGGCCAAAGGGGTGAACATTTTACTCCTGTATCTCCTAAGGCTTAGGAGATACAGGAGTATACAGGAGGATACTCACAAAGTTTCCAAAAAAATATAGATAGGATTTTATACAAATTTTCTACTAATGCATGTGCAACTTCACAACAATTTTTCGAAAATTTCTGTCCCTTATTGGAGGGGGTTGGGAAGTTACATTTAGTCCAAGCATTCTGTCACGGATTAATGTTAAATTTGTAGAAATTATTACCTGGACAAAAAAAATATGACCGTATAGAAAATTAAATTTTAAATTGAGTTTCTTGTTCTTTAAACTCGATCCAATATGGCGAACATGGTTAAAAAAAATCGCAAAGTTGAAAAAAACGGTTTTTCTAAAATAACTAAAAAAATATAGCACGGATTGAAAAATTTTAAATGAGAAAGTTGTAGGTTTTAAAAAGATCTATCGACTGATTTTTTGAAAGTATCGATTGCTTTGTTACTTTTCGAGATATATCGAAAAAACCGTTAAAAATCTTCTCTTTTCTCTTCTTCTATAACTCGTTTACATTTACGTGCCCATATTTGCTATTTACTGCAAGCATAGCCCGCGGCAAGCCAAAAAAGTACATTTTTGAAAAATTTAAAAATATTAATTATTTTTCGAGATATATCGATTTTTTGAAAAAAAGGCGCTCTCGAAAATTGGCTAGATCTTCTCAGCGGATAGCCCTACAGTAACGATTTTCGGTTTATTTTCTTCGTAAAGAGTTATATTATCATGCTGTTAAAAAATGTTGACGATTTTATTAATTTTAAGGATCAAAAAATGACTTTGAATAAGTTGCACTTTTTTGGGTATGTTTTTTTCAAATTACTATTTCAATTTTTATTTTATGAAAATGACTTTTAAAGAAAGAAAACTAAACATTTACGGGTCTATTTTGCTTCTAAGGCGAAAATGCTATAATATTCGTGTTTAGCTACCCCAGATTAAGTACAAAAAAATAATAAAAATTGAAATAGTTATTTGAAAAAAACATACCCAAAAAAAGTGCAACTTTTTCAGTCATTTTTTGATCCTTAAAATTAATAAAATCGTCAACATTTTTTAACAGCATGATAATATAACTCTTTACGAAGAAAATAAACCGAAAATCGTTACTGTAGGGCTATCCGCTGAGAAGATCTAGCCAATTTTCGAGAGCGCCTTTTTTTCAAAAAATCGATATATCTCGAAAAATAATTAATATTTTTAAATTTTTCAAAAATGTACTTTTTTGGCTTGCCGCGGGCTATGCTTGCAGTAAATAGCAAATATGGGCACGTAAATGTAAACGAGTTATAGAAGAAGAGAAAAGAGAAGATTTTTAACGGTTTTTTCGATATATCTCGAAAAGTAACAAAGCAATCGATACTTTCAAAAAATCAGTCGATAGATCTTTTTAAAACCTACAACTTTCTCATTTAAAATTTTTCAATCCGTGCTATATTTTTTTAGTTATTTTAGAAAAACCGTTTTTTTCAACTTTGCGATTTTTTTTAACCATGTTCGCCATATTGGATCGAGTTTAAAGAACAAGAAACTCAATTTAAAATTTAATTTTCTATACGGTCATATTTTTTTTGTCCAGGTAATAATTTCTGTAAGCATTTCTCTATAATGCTTGGACTAATTAGTAGAAAATTTGTGTAATACTGGACTATTACACCTTTTTTGGTTTTCAAATTACAGCTAAAGGATGAACATTTTACTACGGTCATTTTTATGCAAAACGAATTCATTTTAGTTGCAGATTCACCCGTATAATTTGTGCTACTTCTTTTGAAAACGCCCCGTGTAATGGTATTAGTGAATATATTTTAATAAAATTTCAAATTCCATGCTAATTGGGACGTAATGCAATGTCGCTTTTTCAGTCCAATCTCTCAGCGGCCCAGCTCGAAAGGAACAAGACCAAAGAACAACTGGAAGAAGAAAAGAAAATCTCCCTCTCCATCAGGATCAAGCCTTTGCATCTCGACGGACTTGGTGTGGATAAGTTAAGAGAGAAGGCCCATGAACTTTGGGAATGTATTGTTAAACTGGAAACCGAGAAATACGACTTGGAAGAGAGGCAGAAACGTCAAGATTATGACGTAAGCCGAAAATTTGAAATATATGCATATACACTTATGTGCATACTTACTCTTCTCGTACCTAATCAAATTAATTTTCATTTTTAGCTTAAGGAATTAAAGGAAAGGCAGAAACAACAACTTAGGCACAAAGCTCTTAAAAAAGGTTTGGACCCTGAGGCTCTTACCGGAAAATACCCCGTAAGTAAATGCCACAGGTACACAAATGGAAATATTCACGTTCATGAATTGCTTACAGCCCAAAATCCAAGTAGCTTCCAAATATGAACGACGTGTAGACACCAGGTCGTACGGAGACAAGAAAAAACTATTTGAAGGGGTAAGAGTAATTTTTCAAATGTGTACATATGCAACACTTGTACTTTTTCACCATCAATGAAATTTATTGCCTTTTTGAAAATTGAATCAATTTCTTAGAGCCTTCAACAGAATCTCGGCAATTTAAGTATGCATCTTTTCAAAAAGTTGCTATAGAAATATATGCATAGATCGGGGGACACAATGCCATATTTTTGTGTATTAATAAAAAAAAAATCTGAATCGAGTAAATTATAGATTAGTGCCAGATCAAGTTTGTTCCAATTCCGAATGGAACATCTTTGAGAGAATTTAAACATTCAGTCAATATTGTACGAAAATTTGACAGTTCACAACAACAAACATCAACTTAACCTTCACAAAAGTCTTTCATAATAACGAGCGTTCAAATAAAAACGTGGTCAAGTTGGTTCTGAAAATTTGGACGTAGGGCGTAGCGTATAGCAAATGAACTTAAACGTCATCTGTCAAAGCGCTATATCGCCGCTATCAATTTGAATATTTTCGTTTTAAAAAGCGTTTAAAATGGTGTTTTCTCAAGAACAAAAAGTGTTTATCATAGAGTCCTACTTTAGAAATGGACGCAAGATTGATGGAATATGGAAGTATTCTATTGAGGAATGTTTCATAGAATTTCAAAATCAATTTCCCGGCGTTGTTGAGTACAAAATT